AAAAGTGAAACAATTGCGCGCCTCCTGCTGGTATTGTTGCAATTCAAAGATAATTCCAGACCATATGGAACAGATTAAATTAACGTTACAGTATAGGCTTGAAATACATATCTTAAAGAAATTGGTGATGGTTACTAATAAAACATAAACGAATTTATATGCGATATAAATTACGATTTTTGGATTGATACTTTTAAAATATGTAATACATTCTTTAGATTGCCTACCAGAAACACACTTTGAAAGTTTATAAATAATTTATCAATGAAATATCACTTAGAATAGTCGTTCAACCATCCAACTATATTAAAAAGTAAACTGAATTCATTACACAGTTTTTAAGTTAGTTTCGGTTCAAAATTGAATTAAAGATACAAAAGCTTAGAGAATCTGTTTTTTTTATCTCTCTCTTTTTTTTAAAATCTATTTTTGACATTTCAAGTTAAATATATTTTTTGTAGTTTATCAAGGTTCTAGCTTATTTATTCATTTTATGGTTTTCAAGAAATGATGAGAGAAATGGGATTGAATTTATGACTTTAACAAAGACAGACATTTACAAAGTAAATCCGGTCAGATTTTTTTTTAAACCAGCGCTTTTCTGCTCTAACACTGTGGTAACAACAATAAAAATAAAGAAATAACGTGAATATCAAAACGCGTCATTATATTAACTACTCAGACCATTGCAAACTTCTCTCATTGATTTGCACGTGACCATAGAAAACGGCACGTTACTTCAAAATGGAGGTTACTTACACCAAAGAACACTGTTTCAGTTGACAAAAAAATTGGGACAAAAACAAACGTTATTTTCGGTTTTCATTAAAAGAATAAAACCAAACTTATCCATTAACACAATAAAATTTCAGTCAAAAATTTAAACATTTTTTTTATATATTTTAAACATCTTACTTTCACATTACTAAGAATAACAACCTGTTACGTACTTGGCTAAAACTATTCACATGGTAATATATATCATTTTCTTTTCTTTATTCAATTTAAGCAATCTATTGGCGGAAAGTTATTATTCAATTACATATATAAGAAAATAAATCAAAATCAAATTAATTTTTCTATATTATAATGTATGAAAATTTTGATTAAAAAAATATGATGGCACTGGTCTGTATAGCGAATCAAAAGGGGCCACTGCGAAGAAATGAAGACAAAAACAGTAGTTATTGTATTGTGCCACATAATCAATGGTCAAGACAACATTAAACCCGACAACCAACAGCAAACATAAGCAGAACATAAAATACAAATGAAAATAAACAAAACATGAATGAAACATAAACGAAAATAGATAAGCAATAAACGACATAAAAACAATGATAATATGCAAGCATGTGCAATCATGCTAGTACAAAATTTTACATTTAGATGTCTTCAGACTACTTAAATCCTATCATTCATTTACAATTAAAATTTAATTTACTTAATATTATTCAAGTCTTATGTACTCATGCACTGCTAATTAAACTACTACGCTAATATTTACACAAATATTTAATATGCTAGCATTTTTTAAATTCCTTATTAGCGGTATCATCAAATATATACTCATTTTAGGTTGACAATTTTATTTTATTTTCTGTAACGGTTAATTTCATTTTTTAACAAATTGGGATTTTCTTATTGTCTTTTATTTAAAGGTATTATTTATAACTATGTTTGTTTGCCTAAGGTATTATTTATAACTATGTTTGTTTGTCTGGTTTTTAAGCCGATATCAAATACATTTATGGCATTATCTCGAAGGCAGGTTCACCTCACCGGATGTCATGGATAACTAACCAGTAATAACAATTTTCTCCGCAACAGATTGACTACTATACCAGTATGATTTCTAAGTGAGTCTTTGAAAGAGTGACAGATAAAGGACCTTTAGAGCAATTGTCAAAGGAGAAATTTCGCGTCGCCCAAACATAAAACCAGCGACCCCGGTTACCGTTTCAATAGGTGATTTTTATTTATTACAAATTGAAATCAAAGTGTTTTCACTTTCTTTATTTTATATCAATTTTGTTTCAATTTGGATTATTATATGAACAGTTAAAATAGTATTTCTACGATTTGTTGTCTGTGAATTTCCTTTGATTTAATTTGAAACTATTTCATAGCCAATATCTTCTTGTGTTACAAAAAAGCTATTTATCTTAAGGAACAAAATGGAAATATAAAGTTGTTTTAACTACTTTTGTATTTTATGTGTTTATTGATACATAATGTTGTTTGACATTGCTATTTATAAAGTCACACATCTTATTCCTATTCTATGCCTTCATCTGTCTGTTATAATTCTTAATGTATTATAATTTGTTTTTCTTCTTCTTGGAAAAGTAATTAATAACGTTAGTCTCGTATTTAGGTGCTGAAAAGTGAAAATTCGATTGTTTCCAAACACATCATGTGTGCACACAGTATCATTCCGTTGGACAAGAGTTTGCTACATAAAGAGTTTGTAAAGCAATATGCTAGCTCAAAATGACGATCATTTTGGTACGATATATGTTGATAATTAAAGATATTTACTAATAATCAATTAACAATTCGTTTTCAGTGAGCTTACATAACTTTTAAACCACCCAAGAGTATGTTCGATGATAGAATGCATTGCATTTCTTATAATGTTTTTGCCAATTAAAATAAAAGTAGAGATCTAAAAATAGTAAAAGAGAAAAAGCTAACAGTCGGGAGTGCCAAATAATATTCTCTTTGTCAAATATATTTATATATGTTCGTATCCGATTTACACACTTAACCACATATCGTTCGCACATATATTCCTTAAAGTTTTGAAAAATTCCTAATGAGATAATATATCCATTTATCACCATGAACAAGAATGTTAAAAAAACCTTGAGGATTATGTGTCCTAATATACGGGACAACATGGCTCATATACCGATCTAATATTTTTTCTGGTGTCGGTTCATCTAGTAATACCATAAGGAAATCTGCCGTATCATTCGGTGGTAATGCAAACGGAGCCAGATAAACTTGTTCAATAAAATCATTTCTTCTTGGTAGAATCGTCTCCTTGTTGTCTTCATTAAGATGAGTGACTTCCTCTAAAACCTCTGGGATTCTCAGAGCGACGCATGGTCCTTCAAGCATTAAACACTCGATAATTTCAAGAAGCTTACTTTGTTGCTTATTGCTCACTTTGCCTTCCAGAAGATTACGGTTTGGAATCATATAGCTCGGCAGTTTGCGTTCTGATATGCATGTTTTCAGGAAGTAAAGGACATGGTGTATTCTTTCTGTAAAGTCCTTCATTTCAAATTTTACCATTGGCATTTCTTCTGATATCCAAAATATAATATTTTTCATTACATAAGATGATATACCAAGACATATTGGCTTGAAAAAGCGTTTCGAAAGTTTTTTCACAATAGCATAGACTTTGATCTGAGTGTCGTTGAAAGTTTGTACAATTGCAATTTCTGCTTCGGTAAAACATATACGCCATTGAAGAAAATGTTCCGGATGACCTTTCATTCCAACCGGTACAACATGACCGGTCATATCTTTTATTCTTGCAATAAGATTTCTTGGTGGCCAGTCATGCTCCCTGTCTCGATTGCACCACGTTTTCAGCAACGATGAAGCATTACATTTGAAAGCTAGACAATCGTCATATTGTAGTGAAATATCTATGTATGGTACAGACAACGAGAACGAAACTGACGGTCCATTTTTTTCAACATTTAACTTGAATGATTTTTTCATCCATCCTCTTTTTTCAAGTTGTTTTTGCACTGTGCCAAGCAATGGAGAAACTGCTTTCAGTGTTACCTTATCGTTTCGAAGTAATATGGACCCGTTGTATTCCACTAATGCATCTTTTAAATGTTCCGGAATATCAGCTGTATTCTTCCGAAAAAGCTTGAGAAATGTATAGCCTGGTGGAGACCTTTGGATATCAATATGGAATACGGCATGATAATTACCATTATTACATTGAGCGTCTTGTTTAGATTCCGTGCACATTACCGTTTTATCAACAAACATTTGATCAACGTCATTGTCGAATGATGTTGCAAGACCTTCACGTCGACTACCTGTCAGTAAAACATCAATATTCCCTCCGTATTTTCTTCTGTGGTATAAAGTTGATCCTTCAGAAATGTTCTTTCCTATCCATGAACGTTTTTCAACAATTTCTTTATTATATCCTAAAGAGTCCAGTGCCTTTGCTATTACAGATGTTTGCATTGTTTTTATCTATAATCATAGAACTATCTACATATTTGCGACACAACTGTTGAACTGATAAATGAAATCAACGAGGAAGTCCTCGGCAAATTATGTCATCTGTATGATATACATGACTGAACAATAGCTGAATATCAAGATATTTGGTTACCGTTTTATCAGTAACTGTTGTAAAATGTTAATTCAGATAAGTTACCACAAAATGTTTCATAAAATAATTTAGCTTCATATACACATTTCTGACTAGCAATTAGTTCTGACAGTGCCTAACACAAACTTCTCAGGTTTATTTGTCAAAAACTTATTAAACTTTCATGATACTTAAAATTCAAAATCAAGGAGAGAATATCATCGCAAGATTAAATGTTCTTTTGTTAGTGGAAAATATTCTTACATAATATGTATTATGTGGGGAAATATTATATCAAATATCAATTAAACAGGTTAACTTTTACTGAAAATACAGAATTTTATACCTGTTTCTGAAGATGCGGACTATATTCATTGGCGTTTTATTTTCAGAGATAATCATAAACTGAAAAAAACATATGTGCATTTCTGGTATTAACATTTTGGATTGATACTTTTAAAAATATTTAATACATTCTTTAGATTGCCTACCAGAAACACACTTTGAAATTTTATAAATAATTATTTATCAATGAATTATCACTTAGAATAGTCGTTCAACCCTTCAACTATATTAAAAAGTAAACTTGATTTCATTACACAGTTTTTAAGGTGCATCAAATGTCAGCCATATTGTTTTGTTGAAAATTTTAGGTCAAAAATTAAAACTTTCAACTGAAGTATTCTGAGGTACATTTGAAAAGGAAACTGTTGAGGCATTAATCCTTTACCTATAAAGAAGCTGTTACATTGCCTAAAAAGGAAAAGAAAATTAAAATAAAAACAAAAGCCTTACCTGAATCAGTTTGCAGCACATGTAACTTGTATGTCAAAATAAAGTTCCTTCCAATGATAAATATGTGATATGATGAATGAAAACTTTTAAAGTAACATCTATTTTAGTGACACTGAATCTCCATTACCTGAAAAAATTATTTATCAAGTGAAAATTTATATTCCAATAAGGCCAGTAAACACAGCATTATCTAAGTCCAATGTTTACATAGCATGTACACAAAAGTAGTGCAAGGTTAAGTATGGTGTACTATTATGGACATGGGTTACTGATAAAAAAATTTACTGCAATAATCCATAAGATAAGCAGGATAATATTCCTTCTTGTAATAATTCATTAAAATGAATTGAAACATGACCTTCTTGCAAAATTAATTTGACATAAAAAGCATAAATTCAGAAACTGTAAATTATTATATAGTATAGTTTTAATTACATTCAAAGCTGTTGTAATATGATATTAATATTTAAAAGATATTATGCATAATGTTATTTAAATATTTTTTAAATACAATTTTTAAATATAAAAACATACAGTACATGGTATAATATAAATTGGAAGAGAAATAAAGTATACCATTACAAATCTATGAAAGTTAAGGTGCCTTCATTATAGTCTTTGATCAAAGAATCTACTTCATATGACGCGTCTTCACCTTCATATAGCACCTCATATACTGCATCAGGATTTCCGTCTTTTCCAGAAGAAACAGAAAGCACGGTGCCTTTGTACCAATTTAGAGAGCCGTCTGATTCTGTACACTGGTGGTTGATTCTCCTCCCAAGGAATTTTAATTTTCTCAAACGTGTTGATCTGCAAATTTGTATAAAAAATATTAACTATCCCTTTCAAATACATCTTGAAGGCAATTAAAATCTGAAATAAATATTAATAATTTTTGGCCATTTTTAAACTTAAAATAAAGTTGCAAGTTAAATTTGCTCATTTATTTGGATGTTATGCAAAATTAATGTTTAAAAATAGTAAACAAAAGTTAATTTGAGAACAATTTACAGGTGCTTATAGTGTATAAAGGCAATAATATAAGTTTATAACCATCGTGATAGGAAAGGATTGCATGTACTGCACAATATTTTGTCAACATTTGTGTTACAGTACTCAGTGAAAAAGTACCTGAACATAAATTGATATAACAGCTTCATTCAAAAATTATAAAATTCAAATAAGGGTATATTTTCAAATTAATAAATACAATGACACAACAATTGAAATAAATTCCATGAATAATATATCCACATTAAATTTCATTAATTTTGAGCACATCAGTACACCATAGCGAGTTACTTGCATATGCACTTTCATTCATGTCATTTCACGCTTCATGACTTTGAGAAATATTTTTCTAATACAATATAAAGGTCAGGCTAACTTACCTTCAAAGCTATATCATAATCATAAAGTTGCATAAATATTTCAAAGAAATAAAATAGAATTAATAAAATCGTTTTTACAGGCCATGTGAGAACCTCTTGTTTTTGTTTACATTTTGATGAATGAAAACGAAAGTTAATTATTTGTAAATGGTATGTCATCGTACAACATAGCCGATCGGTTTGTTTATTTGTGGGATAAAGAACTTGAACAAAGTACCAGTGTATAAATTATAATCAATACATCTGATCTTACCGTGAATAAGTTAAAATCATTTGAAAAGAAAATTTTCCGCAGCAGCGTGTCTACATCTCCACCATGTTAGTTTACTTGGTACCCGTTCTAACAATTAATAGTTATTATCACGCTTACGACAGTCGGGTAACCATACGAAATGTATATCCGCCAAATTGTACAAAATTAAAAGAACTTACGCGATTGTTCATAGTTCTATGAAATATTACGTGTATTTGAAATATGTCGCTTATATATATTTTTTCTAACAAGGACGAAAATAAAGTGATAAAAGAAATGTAACTTTCATTAAGATACGCCAAAATTGCCCGATCTTTCAGGTGAGGTCTACTTCAGTGTATGAATATTTTTTACTTCCTTCCGTTATGCTGTCAACAGAAAGCCGACTAAATGTAAATAAATACAAGAAAGATATTACTATGTCAGGTATAAAGCAATCGAATTGAAATTCTGTGTATTTAGGTCTGTTCTATGAATATTTTTGTTCATGGGAATAAGAATCTGTTTTAATTAATTTCACTAAGAGAAGCATAAACATGATATCCTTTGAGGAAAAACAACGTAAAAACAGAAGGATTTGATAAAATGGCGGGTCAAAAATGTATGCCGAAGCACGTGAAAAGTTCTGAATACGTAAAGGAGGTTATTTAACAAAAGTTTATCACTCGGGTGCACTGCATTGATATATTGACTAAATGTTTATGAAAATGTTTTAATTTAATTCATAGTCTTTAAACAGAATTTTGACATAGCAGTATGTGGGTAATTTTCAGTTTCAAAATTGTGCAACACTGTCATATTTTGATTTTGGAATCAATAGGTCACTCTAATGGTGATATATCCCTATATATTTATTAACTATTAACTTTTTTTTATAAAAACTCTTCTCTATTTTGTAATTCAACAACTGTCATGTAATGTTGAGGAGTAGCAAATTCACAAGTTTGATGTACCTTAAGTTAGTATCTGTTCAAAATTAAATGAAAGATACAAAAGTCTAGAGAATCACTTTTTTCTCTCATTTTTTTTTTAAATATTTTTGACATTTCAAGATAAATATATTTTTTGAAGTTTATCAGGGTTCTAGTTTATTCTTTTTATGGTTTTCAAGAAATGAAGAGAAATAGGATTAAATTTATGACTTTAACAAAGACAGACATTTACAAAGTAAAACCAGTCAGATTAATTTTATTTTTAAACCAGCACTTTTCTGCTCTAACACTGTGGTAACAACAATACAAATCAAGAAATAACGCGAATATCAAAACGCGTCATTATATTAACAACTCAGACCATTGCAAACTTCTCTCATTGATTTGCACGTGACCATAGAAAACGGCACGTGACTTCAAAATGGAGGTTACTTACACGAAAGAAGACTGTTTCAGTTGACAAAAAAATTTGTGACAAAAACAAACGTTTTTTTCGGTTTTAATTAAAAGAATAAAACCAAACTTATCCATAAACACAATAAAATTTCAGTCAAAAATTTAAACACTATTTTTATATATATTTTAAACATCTTACTTTCACATTACTAAGAATAACAACCTGTTACGTACTTGGCTAAAACTATTAACATGGTAATATATATCATTTTCTTTTCTTTATTCAATTTAAGCAATCTATTGGCGAAAAGTTATTATTCAATTACATATATAAGAAAATAAATCAAAATCAAATTTATTTTTCTATATTATAATGTATGAAAATTTTGATTAAAAAACTATGATGGCACTGGTCTTTATAGCGAATCAAAAGGGGCCACTGCGAAGAAATGGAGACAAAAACAGTAGTAATGGTATTGTGCCACATAATCAATGGATAAATTGCTAATTCAAGACAACATTAATTCCGACAACCATAAACATAAGCAGAACATAAAATAAAATGAAAATAAACAAAACATAAATGAAACATAAAATATGATAATCAAGATCAACAAGGAAAGGCGGCGTTCAATGAACGCAACCCCCATATGTCCTAGCAACAAGAACCAGTGGCAAGGAGCCCAGGTGGACCCCAAACAAAAACAGGACAGGGCAAAGACAGAGCACGGACAGGTTAATCATTAAATGATAAATAATTTGTAACTGATTAGGAATTCAAAGAAAAGGATAATATGCCCAAGAAGGGGAAGGGGACAGGAGACCGGGGGAAGGGGGGGGTAATCAAAGAAATAAAAACTAGAGACAATGGGGAAGATACTTACCGTGGACGAGAAAACAACAAGGGACACAAGCAAAAGTGTCACCAAAACAGTAAGAAACAACATAGACATACATCTGAGGAACACAGAGGGGCGCCGCCTTGGAACGGTCAGCAGCATAATAATGACTGCTGGGGAGTTTAAACCGGTTAATGGTGCACCAAACCTCGCTCTTAGCCCCACCATGTTCCTATAAACGAGACAGTGTAAATAAAATGATTCCCCGTCAAGTGAAATTCTAACAGTTGTCATGGTTACAAAAGGTTAAATAAGTAGAACACTAAAATGATCATGTAGAAACATATAAAAGTAAACCCAATGACCATAACAAAAGTACTCAATGTCCTTAAGGAAGACAGAGCAACAAGAAAATCACCTACAAGGGCCCGACGAAGCAAGGCAGAAGACGAACATTAAGACAATTCAGTCCCAAAGGGCTTTACGAACTATCCATCATAGAATCTCCCACTTGGTCAGTCAGATGTAATCAAAAGAGGAAAGCGTAGTGTCCAACTGAAAAAGGCTTGAACACTAAACATGCAGTATGTCTTAAAATAGTAGGATCATAACCTCTTTTAATAAAACGTTTAATGATTTTAGTAAAAACAGCAGAAAAATTACCATGACCCAAAATCTTACGAAGTTTGTAAATCACATCGCCATAAAAACCAGGCTGTCTAATCCCTTGTCGCAGAAGAGTTTTTAAATCACTATTGAATTTAGAAATTAAACCAATTGTAAAATTTAGTAAAATATTTCCGTAATTTATGATAGCGGTAGCCCTGTTTTAGAAGTTTGCTGGTAATAAAAATATTCCGCTCGTTGAAATCCTTTACGTTGCTACAAGCTCTAGCGAATCTAATTAACTGAGAAACATAAACCCCGTAAGATGTTGCATAGGGTACGTCTCCATCTAAATGTAGATAATTAACTATACAAAAGTCAAAGTCATCTCTTTTATCATAGATTTTCGTGTGAATAGAATTGTTGTTGATAGTAATATGAAGATCCAAAAATGATGTACTCAAACTTCAAGAGTTCGTTTTATTAAGTTGTAGTTCATGTGGATAAATGTCAGACACCATTTGATCAAAATAAGGATTATCTAAATTAAAAATATCATCAAGGTATCTGGAAGTATTATTAAATGCGACTATAACATCTTGTTGTTTATCTTCAGAGAGACTCAACATAAAGTCTCTTTCATAGCAGTACAAAAACAAATCGGCGACCATTGCAAAATTAGTACCCATAGGAACTCCTATGATCTGTTTAAATAGGGTATTACCAAACCTGACATAAATATTGTCTAAAAGAAAAGAGAGTGCTCTACAAACTTCGTCACAGGTCCACATAGTATAATGTTTAACAATACCGTTAGTAAAAAAAGCTTTGTTAGAATTACATGCTAGAAAGGTAACTTTTTCCCGTGCAAAAGTTTTCTGAATTAAGGAAATTAGTTTATCATTGATTAATTTATGTGGCAAAGTTGTATAAAGTGTAGAAAATCGTATGTACTGACAATGGAAGCTTGAAAGTTCTTAATTTTGAATTTATCCAAGATTTCACCAGAATTTTTAATTGACCAAAAGAGATGTTTGCCTGTGTTTTCATAGACTTTATCACAATATCTAATTACATGTGTTTTAATGGCAGTCAAACAAGACGTCAATAAAATAGAAAGTTTACTTGTTGTGCAAGATGTAGAAGTAGCAATGAATCTGGCTTTGTAAGGTTTTTTATGTAATTTAGGAATCCAATACATAATAGGAAGTTTGAGTTCTTTTTCATTAATTTGGACTTTAAGATTGGAAATATTAGTAATATGATTGTTTACAATGTCTTTTTCGGAGGCAGAGGTTTAAGAATACGCATTAGTACTATTTAGTTCCTTATGCAAAACGTTAATGTAATGGATTCGTCATACAATTATAATATTATTAGCCGCCTTGTCCGCTGGCACCAAAAAAAATTGAATGAAAAGCTAGAATATCTTTTTTCAGATGTCTTAAAGTAAGTCTTGGTTTAGGTGGAAAAAGATGTTCATTTCCACGATAAAAATTAATACGTGAATCATCAATTTTAAAGATGTTACGTTTCCATGTAACTAGAGCATTACTATCCGCATTTTCACGGCGACACCATTTGACCGAAAAATCCTCTAAAGATTCAGCAATCTGACCACGACAAGCATTAAAATCAATCTCAGAAGGAATTCTGTATTTAGGTCCTTTCAAGAATAAGTTACGAATTCTTTTGTCTGCAATTATATCAAAATTACCAGTGATTATATGGCCAAAATCTAAATTACAGAATTTAGAAGAATTGAAGTCTCAAGTTGTTGAAGTATTAGACTGAATATCTAAGTCAGAAACCACTTTGTTGTAATTAAATATGATATTTCTAACAGGTTTCTTATATTTATAGCAAATAATTAGTATCCCATGGAGTTTTGAAATATAAAGGAACTGAATTAGTGACACGTTTATCACGAAAAATACTTGGTAAATCGATGAAATCGATACCTTCAAGAAAGGTTACTTTTAGGAAATGCCTGTTGTGGTCAGAAGTGTTGTCGATATGAGGTCTTAAGACGTGCTGAGTATAACTTTTGAGTATAACTTTGAATAAGATAAGCTGCTGTATATAAAGGATCTGTTTGAATAACTAAAAGAAATAGATACAGCAAGATACAACATAACAACCTTGATAATATGCAAGTATGTGCAATCAACATGCTAGTACAAAATTTTACATTTATATGTCTTCAGACTACTTAAATCCTATCATTCACTTACAATTTAGAATTAAAATTTAATATACTTAATATTATTCAAGTCTTATGTACTCATGCACTGCTAATTAAACTACTATGCTAATATGTACACAAATATTTTTTTAAATTCCTTATTAGCGGTATCATCAAATATATACTCATTTTAGGTTGACAATTTTATTTCATTTTCTGTAACGGTTAATATCATTTTTTAACAAAATTGGGATTTTTCTTTTTGTCTTTTATTTAAAGGTATTATTTATAACTATATTTGTTTG